TGGAAAAAAAAAAAAATGGTTTGGGGGCCATTCAGTGACATGATGGTTAAGGCAGTTGGATCCCACATGGCCAACTAGGATTCAAATCCCAGACATAGTGACTTGAAAAACATGCCAGGCACATGTGTATGCATGCCCAAAATTCCAAGAGGAAAAATGGAGAAGGAATTGGGGCATTGCCATGCCCCTGGCATTTTCCCTCTTTTTCTCTCTCCATTAAGTGCACTCACCCTATAGCAAAATAATTTTCACTCCTATTTTTTTTCTTATCTTTAAGTGATTATTATTAAAAAGCAATGTATTTGTGAAGGAAATAAATGAAATGTGAAAATATTTTTAATACAGTTACATAAAAGATCTGGAGACCAATATTATTTCTTCTAGATTAACTTCTCATCCTCCTTCATTTATGCATTGCGTTGCGACAATGTTTACTGTCAGACATTTGTCCAGTTCATGAAAGGCTATCTGAAAAGCAAATTGTAAGAGCTAAGCAATTGGACTTCATTGTTTCCCAATTCATACTCCTCCCTCCAAGTCTTAATACAATCGAAATTCCCTGTCTCTGGCCTAAGTCTGGAGATTGCCATCAGGCCCATGGTCATGCAGTGGCCACTAATTAAATCTTAAGCTTCTCTCACTGTCCTCAGCTGGATAAAGGCCAGCATTGTCAGTCCGAGGGAGCTCTTACCCTCCGTGGGAAAATTGTTGGCCATCTCTCTCATTGGGCAAAATTATTGGCTGTGTCTCCTGTACAGTAAAAATTACTGGCTGCATCTCAATCGGCGAGCCTTTTCTCTCCAGGGGCAAAACTGTTGCCTGCATATCTCGGAAGGAAAATTGCCATCTGCCTCACTCTGTAGGAAAATTGCCAGTTGTGTCCCCATTACAGGGAAATTGTCAACCCTGTCTCTAAACGGGAAAGCATGCCAGCTGTGCTTCTCTGCAGAAGACATGTCAGCAGAAGGGAGCAGTTGAAAACTCCGTGCCCGTTCCCTTTTCATCATGCACAGACCTTCACCCCTGGGCCTGCCTTGTCTCCTTTACCCTCCCTCTCAGCTTCCAAGTCATCGAAGCCAGGATGTTGGTGACACTGACATGAGACACTTGTCCCAAGGAGGGTGTATTTCATGTGATAGCTCAGAGATGAATTATTTTGTGTCTGCATTACAGCTCAAACAGGAGACTAGAAATTCATGTAACAACTGGTAGGTAGTTACAGACTTTGGGCCTCAGTTACGTGGCGCTCACCTTAAGTCGCCCTGCACCTGCATTATGACTGCCTTCCCTGTGGTCCTGACTGCAGGCGCTTTGCTAAGTGTGTAGAAGAGCTCAGCCAGGCTCACGAGCACCCTGAAAAACTGGTGTCCTATTCCAGGATTGTGTTTCTAACAGAAATACCTGAGACTGGGTGATTTATAATGAAATATCAGGCCAGCCCCGTAGTACAGTGGTTACTTGCTGTGAATACAAAACCAAATCCCACGTGGCCAACCAATTACAGTTCAAATCCTGACCTCTTGAGAAACATGCTCAAAATTTTGACAGGATGGAGAAATGAAGGAGTGAGCATCGTGGCATGACTATGCCCTATTGGAATTACTTACTCTCTTTCTCTCTGGCAAGTACACATGCCCTCAGGCAATTAAAAAAAAAAAGTTTATTTAGCTCATGGTTTGGAGGTCTGAGGGCCAGGGGTTGACTTCTGGTGAAGCTACCCCATGGCAAAGAGCGAGATCTTAAGCAGAGAAGCTGTTTTAAAAAGTCTCTTTGTAAACATAATTTGCATCTTTTAAATAGCTCACAGACTTGTACTCTGCCGTTCCAGCTTCTCAAGAGTCTTGATTTCTAAGCGCTTCTTCTTTTCTGCAAGGCTATCTCTGCAGGTTCATCAAATTGAGGGGATGCCTATCTCATTGGGGTTCCCACTCCTCTTTCTCTTAAGATGTTGTGTTGGAGTTTTAAAGTCCTCAGTACTAATGAAATTGTTGTGAATTGAAACTAATGTGAAAACTTTCTTCACATTTAGTTCTCAACTATGGGGCTCAGAATTCCAGGGTCTTCACTGATGCTAAATGGAAGCCCTAGAGATTCAGGCATAGATGGACACATTGAGTCAGCGACTGTAATGAACCATTTTTTTTTTTCTATTTCAATTGGTATAATCTCAAGTTCAATTCAAACTGATCAGGTTTTTTTGTTGTTCTCTTAAATGATTTGACATTAAAAATAATAACATAAATGAAAGAAACAAGGGGGCCTGCAGGTGGCATGGTGGTTAAAGCGCTAGACTCCCACATGGCCAACTGCAGTTCAAGTCCCAGACCTGGTGGCTTGCTTTCTTACTTTTCTCTCTCTCCCTGTGTGTGTGTGCACATCTGTTGCTCTCTCTTTCTCTCTGGTCAAATTTAAAAATAACACATTTTAAAAATTAAATAATCCCTTAGAAACTTTTAAAGAACGAGAGAGGGCCAGCCTTATAAAGTAACGATTGAGTACTATCCCTAAGAAGCCATAGTCCACATGGTTGACCAAGATTCAAGTCCTGGCCCTGGTGGCTTGAAAAACATGCCAGGCATCCATGCAGGTGCCCAGGATCCTGACATGATGGGAAATTGGAGAAAGAAAGGACTGTGGCATGACCAGGCTCCACAGGAGTGCGTGCCTTCTCTTTCACACATGTGCACTTGTACCTTTGGCATTTAAAAAGTGATTCTGTGAAAACCTACATTTTATTTTGGCTCATAGTTTTCCTTTGTTGTTGTTGTTGTGTGTGTGTGTGTGTGTGTGTGTGTGTGTTTTGTTACTGTTTTTGCTTTTTAAGAATTATATTATTTAACTTTATTTATTTTTAATTTGACCAGTGAGAGGGAAATTGAGAAAGCAAGCCACCAGGTTCAGGACTCAAACCATGGTTGGTCATGTGGGAGTCCAGCATCATTAACCACCATACTACCGCCAGCCCCTTGGCTTATAGTTTAAAAAAGAGCTTATTATCTATCTGAGCTGTCTATGTAAAACTTGTTACTATGTAGATGCATGGGACAGGCAAAAAAGAGGAAGCCTTGGAGAATGAGTTAACAGAGCAACCTGCAGGCTGGTGTTTGGTTTAGCCAAAATTTATGATATAAACCCTTCTCAGGTTGAACCATTTGCAAATGCCATTTTTGTAGGTCACAAGTAATTAAATGTCAGCAAATACCTATGCTTCCACCCAAAACATGCTAAACACCAAGAAGGTAAAAAAAAAAAAAAAAACCTGACTCATCTGGCTTTGCTTCCATTCAAGCAACAAATATTTATTGAACAATTGTATGTAAAACTCAGGGTACAAAGATGAGTAAACCCCACATTTCACCCTCCAAAAGCTCAAATCTTAGTTGAAAAGATAAGACAAACTCATGAATTGTTAAATACTAATGTGAAAAACAGTAGTTTCATTGTAAGAGAGTACCTGAGCAAGTAACTACTTAAACATATGGCCAGACCAAGTATGATAAGGACTTCAGAGAAGGATCATTTGGCATAAAACGATGTACAGTAGATAAGGTCTATAAATCAAGGAGAATTTGGATCAATGAAGACTTCCCGTAACTGGAAGTCCAAGGCAGCTATTGAGAGATAATAAGAACCTGGATATTAAAGCAGATAGACACGGTACACAAAGGCCATTGTGCCACAGTTTACAGCCAAAGGAACCTATGGTACAGGCAACTACTTTGCGCAAAGTCACACAAGGAGATGGCAGTCTGACCTAAGACCCAGTCTGGCAGCAAAGCTTCACTATTCAACATCAGGACCTAAGAAAAATTAAACTATATGTTCATACAAAAACTGGTACATGAATATTGATCACAGCATTATTCATAATAGTTAAAAAGTGGAAGCAACCCAAATATTCACCAACCAATGAATGGATAAACAAAATATTGTATGTCTATACAATGAAATGTTATCTAGTCATAAGAGGAATGACGGGCTTATACATGCTTCAACAAGGATGGACCTTAAAATATTATGCTTAATGAAAGAAGCCCATCATAAATGACCACGTATTCTATGATTCCATTTATGTGAAATTTCTCAAATAGAACCAGAAAGTATTGGGTCATTGAGAAAGTCATGACGCTTTTTTGCATAGGAAAATATGTCATGACTTTTCCAATGACCCAATAGATTAGTGTTTGCCTAAGGATGCAGCGCAGGGAATGGGGAGGAACGGTTCATGGGTATGGAGGCCTTTTTGCAGGAAAAGGGTAATGAAAACATTCTAAATTTAGGTTATGGTGATAATTATGGTTGCATAATTATGTGAATACACAAAAACTACTAAACTGTATACTTTAAAAAAATAAGTTTGGGACCAGTAGATGGCATAATGGTTATGTTGCTTGACTCCCACATAGGTGTCCACGATTCGAGTTCTGGACCTGGTGGCTTAAAACTCATGCCGGGCGCATGTAAGGTGTGCCCGAAATCCCAGGAGGAGAACAGAGGAGAAGGGACTGTGGTGTGACCATTCCCCCTAAGGGGTGATTTCTCACTTTCTGCCTCTATCTCTACAGCAAGCACATGCACCCTATAGCAAAAATCTCTCTTAAGGGAAAAAAAAAAAGTATGTTTTATGGTGTATGAACTATATCTCAAAAAAAAAATTTTTTTTTAATTTAAGCACCTAAGAGGACTCCAAATTTTGGTATGTGCAGTGACACCCGGAGACCAGGAGAAATTTGTGAAACAGAGGTTTAGTCACAGTTTTGAAGCTTGAGAACAGGCAAAGCCAGATCTGTCCCATGCCACTTTTTTATGAAACATACAGAAACCAATGACAGTTCTTTTCTGCTGACCAAGAGCTGACAGTTAAAATTTGTAATCTGCAGACACCAACCCAGTTTAATTAGACTCTAAGTTAGATACTCAGCCTTCTAGCTGGCCCAAACACATTAGAGGCAATTGATAAAGATATGCTAAATTAATCTTATTTTGCTTTTGTTCTTCAGTCTTCGAAGAGCCAGAAGATCCAAGCAACAGATCGTTTTTCTCCGAAATTATCTCTTCGATCTCAGATGTGAAGTTCAGCCACAGTGGGAGGTATATCATGACCAGGGACTATCTGACTGTTAAAGTCTGGGATCTCAACATGGAAAACCGCCCCATCGAGACTTACCAGGTACAGAACACCACCCACTCATAGGTGGTGTTTATTGAGCACTCCCTTGATGGACTTCTAAGTTCCCTCTGCCTGAGAAGGATAAAAGGCAGTACAGACACTGATCATTTAGTGACTGCGTTCCCATTTCTATGAGTAGGTCATTAAGTGAATTGGTTGATAAGCAAGAAGCTTAAAGGCAGAAGTCTTGTGGTGTATCATGGTGCCAAAGGGTACATATTTTTCAGTAGGTATCATGACATCACACTAGAAAAATGTAATTCTATCCATACAAAAAGCATACATTAGATAAACACCAGGAGGCAACAAGGCACACTACAACACAATAATACACATCTGGTGGAATCATTTTATTTATTCCAAACACTACTATGGGTACACAATGAAGTATAAATTTAGAAACAAAATATGTAGTCTTGCATGATTGTGAATACTTTGTATAGTGAATACCAACCTACTGCAGAAATGAGACAAAGACTAAAATGGGGGATTCCTGGGACTCCCACAGAATGAAAAAGGGAATTCTCTGCATAGTCATTGAACAAGTTGGTCGTTAAGTAAGGAACAGCTGTACATGGTGATATATTCAACAGAATGATACAAGCTGTAAGTGCCATGGGATTTAAGATAAGAATGCACATGGAGAGACCAGAATTTTATTTAACCCATATGAACCAAGCACTTATGTGGGATGAACACCACAGTTACAGAGGTGAACAAGGCAAAAATGGTTCTGCTCTCCCTGGTGCTATTCATCTGATGGAAAAGCTAGACCATGAACAAGAAATTGAGTGACTAGTTTTGCAAGGGATGGTATTGAGTGCCATGGTAGCACATGACAGGAAGGGCCAGCCTGGTAAGAAAGGTTTTCCTCAAGAAGTGACTCTTAAACTGAGTCTTGATTTCCATGAACTAATCAGAAAAAGTGTGTTCTTAGAACAATAGCATATTGGAAGCCTATAGATAAGAGAATTGTGGTATATGTTACAAGAGCTTAAACCTCTACAACACAGGGTAGAAAGATAAGCCTAGAGATATTGGTAGGGACCTGAACATATACACCTTGGAACAGTAGAATAGGGAATTTTGAGAGCCATTAAAAGGTTTTATACAAGAAAATGACATTCTGAGTTTTTTGTTTTTACTGTGTCTCACTTGGCAGTTTTCCAAGCAGGAAGAAGGAATTTAGATAAGAGGAAATAAAGGTTTTTTTTTAGGAATGGTGGCATGCAGGTGGAAAAAAAATAGGATGAACAGTGAAGTTCACTTGCTGATTAGATATGGGGGAAGAGGAATCAAGAAGACTACAGGAAGTCTTGGGCTTAAGCATTGGATAAATGGTAGTAGATATAAAGACGAAATAAACAAAGGAGAGGCATTGTTCATAATGACTTTCCCCCCTTTTTATTGATAGTCAAATCAGGGGTATTACCATATACATCATTTTCAACAGAGAATCTTACATTCTTGGAGCTGTTAAGTGTTTCTTCCTTTGCCTCTCCCACCCACTCTGTACCATCCATTCCCATCCTTTATAGTCTCTTGTATCTACACTCATCCCTAATATTGTGTCTTTGGATCTTGCCATTTCTGCTATAGAGGGAAGACATTTGGTGTATATTGAGTGGAGATACACAGTGTTTGTTTTCAAAGTCTAGCTTACTTCACTTAGCATTAAGTCTTATATATTCAACCACTTTGAGTCAAACGACCGTGTCTCCTTATTCCTTATGGCTGAATAGTATTCCATAGTGTATATGTGCCGCAAAATTTCAACCCAGTCAACAGCTCATGGGCATTTAGGTTGATTTCGCATCTTCACAATTGCAAATAATGCTGCAATAAACATGAAAGTGCAAGTGTCCAGACTAAGTGCATTCCTATCCTTTGGGTAAATACCCAGCAGGGTTACTGGGTCACATGGTAATTCAGTTTGTAGGTTTCTGAGGAACCTTTATATCATTTTCGATAGTGGCTATATGAATTAAGATTTCTACCAACAGTGTAGAAGGGTTCCCCTTTTATATCAACAATTTGCTAAAAAGACCCTTTTTCCATCACATTGTCTTATGTCCTTTGGCAAAGATCAATTGACTGTATGATTTGGAATTTACTTCTGGATTCTCTTTCTTTTTGTGCCAGTACCATGCTGTTTTGATTATCACAGGTTTGTAATAGATTTAGAGGTTAGTCAGCGAGTTGCCTCCTGCTTTGTTCTTTATGCATGGTATTGCCTTGGCAATACAGAGCCTTTTATAATTCCAGATGAATTTTATGATCTATTTCTGTGAAGAATGTCACTGGTAATTTTATTGAAATCACATTGAATTTGTAAAGTAATTTAGGTATAATTGACATTTAGTTACATTTATTTTTCCAACCCAAGAGTGTAGAATGTCTTTCTTTTTTTTGTATCATAGAAGTTTTTTTCCTCTTTTGTTAGGTTTATTCCTAAGTATTTTCTTTTTCTGTGTGTATGGCTATTGTAAATGGGATTGCTTTCTGAAAAGTGTATTCATTGTTGTTGTATAGAAATTCTATAGTTTTTTGTATATTGATTTAGCATCCTGCCACTTTACTGAACTCATTTATCACTTCTAGGAGGTTTTTCATGGATTATTTCAGGTAATCATATTGTCTGTGAAAAAGGACAATTTACCTTCCTTTTTATTTGAATGCTTTTTATTTTACTCTCTTTTCTGATCATTTTAGCAAGGATTTTTAGCACTGTGTTGAAAAGGAGTGGACAAAGTGGGCAACCTTGTCTTGTTCTTTTTTTTTTTTTTTGATTTTTCTTTTTTTTGGAGAGGTTTATGCTATAGGGCGCATGCGCTCACCAGATAGACAGAGAGACAGAAAGCGAGAAATCACCCCCCCAGGGGGGATGGATGGCCATGCCGCAATCCCTTCTCCTCCATTCTCCTCTCAGGATCTTGGGCACTCAGGCACACTCACCCGGCGTGAGTTTAAGCCACCGGTTCTGGGACTCAAACCGCAGTCGACTATCGTGGTGGGAGTCCAGCAACATAGCCATTACGCTAACTGCTGGTCCCCCAGCCTTGTCTCGTTCTGCTTCACGGTGGAAACGCATTCAGCTTTTCCCCATTCAGTATGATGTTAGCAATGGGTTTTTCATATGTGGCTTTTACTGTGTTAATAAATGTCCCTTCTATGCCTATTTGGCTGAGAGTTTTAATCATGAAAGGATGTTTTATTAGCAAGTGCTTTTCCTGCATTTATTGATATGATCATATGGTTCTTTTCTTTCCTTCTGTCAGTGTGATCTAATACTCTTACTGTTTTGAATATGTTGAACCATCCTTGCATCCCTAGAATAAAGCCTACATGATCATGGTGTATAATCTTTTTAATGTATTATTGGATATAACTTGCTAGTATCTTGTTGAGAATATTTGCATCTTTATTCATCAGGAATATTGGTCTGTATTTTTTGTTTGTTTTGTTAATGTCCTTGTACAATTTTGGTATCGAGATGATGGAGGCTTAATAGAATGAGTTTGGAAGAGTTCCTTCCTTTTGGGGCCAACAGGTAGCATGGTAGTTAAGGTGCTGGATTCCCATATGGCTGACCATGGTTCGAGTCCTGAACCTGGCAGCTTGCTTTCTCCCTCTCTCTGGTCAAATTTAAAAGTAGCAATAGTAATGAAAAATAAAATTAAATAATTTCTATTTTAAATTTATAAAATTTATATATAATTTATTTATATTTTATATTTATAAAAAAATAAATAATTTTTTTAAAAAATTATTATAAGCAGATGGCATAATGGTTACTGGACTCCCACATAGTCAACCACAATTAGAGTCTTAGACCTGGCAGCTTAGAACATGCTGGGCACGTGTGCCTAAGATCCTGAGAGAAGAATAGAGGAGAAGGGATTGTGGCATTGCCATCTTTCCTGGGGGTTAACTTCTTACTTTCTATCTCTTTCTGTCTCTCCGGTGAACGCATCCATCCTACAGCAAAAATTAAAATAGCTTGATGAGGGGCCATGGCCATAGTGGTTAAGCTGCTGCACTCTCACATGGCTGACCACAGTTCAAATCCCAGACCTGACAGTGTGAAAATCACACCAGGCACATGTGCATGCATACCCAAAAATCTGGAGAGGAGAATGGAGGAGAAGGGATTGTGGTATGGCCATCTGCCCGGGAAGTGATTTCTCACTTTCTGTTTGTCTCTCCAGCAAGTGCATGTGCCCTATAGCAAAAATATTTCTTAAAATAAAATAAAAATTGTAGAATTTAGAAGCAAAGCATTGGGACCTGGGCTTTTTCTTGTCAGGAGACCATTTATTATTGTTTCAGTCTCACTGCTTATCATTGGTCTATTCAGACATACTACTTCTTCCTGGTTAAATCTCCATGTCTTGTGTGTGTCCAGAAATTTGTCATTCTCATCCAGGCTTTCTAGTTTGAGGTATATAGTTACTCATAGTAGTCTCTCATATTATTTGTATTTCAGATATGTCTTATTATATTACTAGCTTCATTATTTCTTTTTCTTGATTAGTCTAGTTAGTGGTTTGTTAATGTTGTTTATCCTCTCAAAAACCAGCTTTTTGTTTTGTTACTTTTTTGTATATTTTCTCTATTTCGTTTATTTCGGCTCTAATCTTCATTAATTTTCTAATGATATTTTTGGGGGAGTTTGTTGTTATGGCTTTTCTAGTTCCATGAGATGTACTGTTGGGTTATTTACTTGCCACCTGTCTATTTTGTTCTTGAAAATATTGCTATGAACTTCCCTCTATTAACTGCTTTTGCTGTGTCCCAAAGATTCTGGAGAATTGTGTGTTTGTTATTGTTGGTTTCAATAAATCTTTGATTTCCACCTTAATATCTTCAGTAATTTGAAAGTTTGACAGGAGAAAGTTGCTTAGTTTCCACATATTTAGTTTTGACGACTCTTTGATTCCATTTTGGTCAGAAAAGATGTTGGATAGTTTCTATACTTTCAAATTTGTAAAGGCTTCTTT